AATTTTTAAAAAAGAGTAAAATGTTAAAAACTTTGTTTTGAGTTAACGATTTATGTTTAACTTTATAACTTCTACAAAAACAAAGAGGAAAAAAAAAAGCGGGAAGGGGCTTGATTATTTTTTTCTTTAATAAGTTTCTATTAATTTTTTTTCAGACCATCTGCAGCTTATTAGGTCTCTTGCTCCGTTAACTTTGAAGAAAGTTAAAGTTGGCATATAAAATAAGCCAACTTTAATAGGATATTTTATATACCATTTTTAATGGCATATAAACGCGCAAGCTAATTACTTTAAAGCTGTATCCTCATAGAGGATAATAGAAGGAGTTGTCTAGTCATAAAAACAGAGGCACAAGCAAAACCCATGCATTGAGTCAAGAAGATCCAGTATTCAACATCCTAAACGGGAAACAATGTATTATAAATACATCTATGCCAGCCTAATAGATGAAGAAGGAGTAGGAAGCTGGTCAAAAGTCAGAATCTGTTTACCCCTTAAGTTTTTGCCTATTTTTAATTGAATTTTACACTGATATTCTAATTAGCGAAGAAAATTGCACAATCCCTGTAAAACACTAAAAAAAAACACATGCTAAAGGCAATTTATAATCATTTAGTGTGACTGCAAAATGAGACAATCTTTAGAAACAAAAAGAAACAACAAGTATATTTTTCCTTCTTGTTCATCAGTAATTATATGTCTACTCGTTCATCAGTAATTATATGTCTACTTGTTCATCAGTAATTATATGTCTTCTTGCTCATCAGTAATTGTCTACTTGTCATCAGTAATTATATGTCTACTTGTTCATCAGTAATTCTACTTGTCACAAACTTATTATTACATAATTACAGAGCTTTTCTTTCAATAATTTACTTTTACACGTGTTGACATGTGTTCACAATTTTAAATATGCCAAATAAGGAAGTTCTTTTAGTGCAAAAATAATTATCAAAAAGTAAATATTTATTCAAGATAGAAAATTATACATTTGATGAATCAAACATGAAAAGATATATTTGATGAATGATTATTAAAAATGTTAATAAAAGATTAATGCTCAAAGGTGGTGTGTGGTATCTTACAAACACAGTATTCGAAAAGGTTCAAGATATGAATGTGTAGAACATGATGTAGGACTTTGTACAGCTCCATGCTTTTCCAATTATCATACAAAAAGTAAGAGAATAAAATTAAAAATTTTGTGTTTATGAAGTATGATTTATATGTTATTAAACTTGAATAATAACATTTTGCAGTGTTTGATAATGTTAAAAATAGTAAAAAACTTTATTCTTTTAGTAAAAAAACACAATGATTTTAAAAACACAGGACAATTAGTGACCGCTTCAAAAAAAAAAAGTGGACTAATAGTAACTGTGTTTTAAAAAAAATACAGGACTATTAAAAGGTTAATACAAAACAAAATTTATCTAATATGACATAAACAGCTTTTATGTTGAACATAAAACATTTTTTGTTTCACTAAGCTAAGGGGTTATCCATAAGTACATATGCTTTTATTTTGACTCCCTGCATTCAAATAAATTATACATTTTAAATTATTTGAATAAAATAATTTAAAATGTATAATTTATTTGAATTACTCTTTTTTTATTGAGTTTTTTAAACTTAACTAGGTAATTTTGTTGTAAATTTATGTTTGTTTGTTTTTTTTTACAAAAAAACAGAATAATTCTTATTTTTTTCAAAAGTTCTAATTTGCCTCTACTGTGTCATACATTTTTTAAATATATTGCATTTCTTTTTTTTAAATATTTTAGTGGGAACTGAGGCAAGTTAGCACTTTTTTAAATTTACAGGATTTAAAAAGGTTGAACAGTGACTATTTTTTTCTTTCTTAAAATATGAGAATATTTCATTTTTAGTTAAAAATATGAAAAATATTTAACTTTTATATGTTTATTTGATTTGATTTTTTTTGTGTCTAGCATAAATAAACTAAAAAATAAATTTAATAAAGGAAAATAAAAAATATAAAATACATCAAAGTATATTTATTCGCATAATTTTATTAAAGCAGGCAAAACTATTATGGCAAACTCAGTTAAATATTCTGCCATAAAAGAAGTACTTTGAAAATGTGTGAAAAAGCATGCAAATGTTATAAACGCCTGAAAGAAAAACATTAAAAAAAAGGATATGCATTTATAACTTCACAATCATCAAAATATATTAATGAAGTTGAGGATACTTACAGGACTGTGTGTTTCAAATCTAAGAAAAGCTTTTATAGAACTGGGTTAAAAGACGAGAAACTGGGTTAATAAGTTAAAAAAGGAGAGAACACAGGCGTCAATTACATAAACAACTTTATCACTAGCGAGTGTCCAGAGTTGCATGTTGCACTAGTTATTGGGTTATCTCTTATATAGATTTAATACACAGTAATTAAACATAAAAAACAGGTAACAAGTAATAAGAGAACTGCTTGACAATGCAATTTTTAAAAACCATATGGAAAACAATAGATACCTTTAGCACATTGATTCCATAGCTCTAATGCATCTCCTTACACTAAGTAAGGAGCAAATGAGAAAATTAATATTTGTTTTTGCTTCAAAAGACATCTAAATTCCAACAACAAATGAATTGTTTGAAGGAAGAAAAAAACTGCGCCTTATAATTAATTATATTTTGGTTGGAAAATTCTATTCAATACAAAAAAACTTGAAAGAATGACAACTAATTCTGTTTAAAATGTAACTAAAGATTCTTTTAATCCATTAGATAAACTAGTAGGCGCAGATTGTATACTGTGCAAAACAAAAACTATTGAATGGCAGAGTTATTGAAGGTTTGTTAAAGTTAGTAAAGTATTTCTGATCATCAGAAGAAACACATATGCTAAAAAACTGTTTAATAAGGATGTTATCACTTCTACTAACACAGAAGATTTTTTCCACACAAAAAGGACTTAATAAAAAACCATAAACCAAATCTGATCAAAAAAGCATATGTATTCCACATTCATATATAAATGGAACTAACTTGGTATTTAAACTACTCTATCGGTGTCATATACATTGAAGACTCTGGGTTGAAAAAACAGAACTGCCAATACATAATGCAAGAAACAGGTTTATAACTAAAATTAAAGAAAACGCTGGAATGCAATTAGATAGAATTAAATGTGTTGCAACTTTTGAGATGGGAGGGACATCAACAACAGAGTCATTAGGAAGTAGATTTTTAGAACATAAAAGATTTATGACCTCTTATCTACAAAAAGAGCATGTTACTATTACATTCTCAAATTTGTATAGTACTTTGTATAGTTTCTTGCTGACTTAAAATTAAAATGGACAAATTTCAAGAATTGTGTAATAATGCTACACTTAACGTTAACTTAAATATGGGCAAAAAATTAACCCCACTCTTCATGGAATCCTTCATCACTCATCTGAATTATTCATTCTTAATGATGGTTATGGCCCTGGCAAATTATCAGTGAAAGGTCTAGAAGGAAACAATAAAGATATAAGAAACTATTTAAAGATTCTCTCTCATAAGACATAAATTATATAAGAGCTTACAGTTGTGATGAGTCATTTTTAATAAAGATATTATCCTGGTGTTTTAAACCAAATTATCCATTTGTATCCTCCAAAGTTATGCAAAGATTGTAGTTCAAATGAGCTTATAAGGAGATCTTGTGAGCGTATGTAAAAACAAAGAGGTATTTTGATGATATGTTTGAAAACTTAGTTTATAATTAATTATGAAGTTATAAACATTTTTTACTATTTTTATTTTTATCTTCAAATATATGTTGCAATATCAAACCATTAGAATCCTTTCCTTATAATTTTATTAAACTAACATTATTTTTAATACAAATTTGACTAAACACTTGTTTTTTAAAACGAAAACCTTTTATCATTAAACAGTAGGAACCAGACCCCTAAATTAATTAAATTTGTTAATTTTTTTTTCTTTAAGTATACCTAATAAATTATTATCTTAGTTGTCATCTAAAAAAAAATTTAACTTTGAGTATTTATCAAAATACACTAATTTATCAAAAATGCCCAAATATAGTAATTTGAACCCAGTCCACAAATTTAGTTTATTATTAAAATTTTTATATTTCCTATAACAAGCAAAAAAATATCTTTCCGAAAAGTTCTCAATGAGTTTTTCAGGATTTCTTAATCATTAGTTATGATCTTATTTCCAAAACTTTATCTTTTGGATCCAATGGTCCAATTTTATGATACTTTTTTTAATTTAGTGTCTCCATACTTTGACAATTAACCCCACTGCCCCTATCTCATATACATCATTTGCAGACCCCTCTCCCCCATCTGAGCATACATACTTTATGGATGATCCCTAGCTATCACTGATTATAAAATGATATTACGCATTATAAGTGAAATATCACTGATATTCATATTATTCATAATTTGATTTTTTTTGTCCTCTGTTTGCATCACTTCTTGATTCACCAAGAAAAAAATACTAGTTATATAAAATAACTGACAAACAAAAATTTTATATTTTATTAATATACTTTATTATTTTGCTGGTTCTCATTTTGCTTTAAATATATCTAGCAAGCATTTTAGCACTGATTCTACTTAAATACTTGACTTTCATTGTCAATGTTAGACTATGATTTATCAACAGCTTTCTTAATAAAACATGTTTACAAACTAAGACATATGGGTAAATACATATTTTTTATACTTTAAAATGGATAGAGAGCTATTGAAAAGGAATAGTTTCAAAAGCTTTTATTCCATCAAGAATAATTATTACATTTTAAAAACTACTTTTTATTTAACCATGATTAATAATTAAATTTTAAAATATCCATTTTAAATTTTTAGTTCTATTAATAATCATTTAATATAACTAAAGTGTAAAAATTATATTAAATAATAAAACTTACTGTTACAGCAAATTAGATATATTACATTAAATAATAAATTTACTGTTACAGCAAAGTAGATATACTAAATAATAAAACTTACTGTTACAGCAAAGTAGATAGGGAGTATAGGATGGCCAGCAAGAAAAATATCACATATACGCACTATCACCTCAATCTTGTTCACATCATGCCCAAACCATGTAATTAACCAACTCAATGCAAATATGGTACCTACTTCTGACCTGATAAATATTCAAAATATTCAAAAACTAAGATTATAAATACAGTAGAATCCCGTTAACTCGGACTCTAAAGGAGTATATATTTATTGTCCGACTTAAGGAATGTCCGAATTAAGCTCTTGTTAAGTCGGACCTTTTGAAAATGTCCGACTTATTGAGATTTCGAGACTTATTGAATATTCCTGGATATATAAATATTATGTACATATATATATAGAACTTCTGTAAATTATGACCATCCAGACAATGTTTGCTTTGATCATCCAGACAATGTTTGCTTTGGAATGTTTCTTTGATATAGATACAGATGATTCTTCTTTGTCGAGTTCTTTTAGTATTTTTTATTTTACTTGATAGCTTTCTTTTAGCAACCTTAGACATATTTAGTAAATAAACTTGATCGAAGTATAACTGAATTGAAGATATTGTGAAAATGTTTAGTTCCTTAAATTGAGTTTGATGCAAAAGTAATTAATTTTTGAATGCTCTAAGTTTTGATTTTAATTATATTTTAATTTTTTTAATGTAATAGTTGCTAACAACTATAATTTAATCGAAGTAATAACTGTAAATGATTCGAAAGTCAATATGTTTGTTATTTAATTTATCTAAAGTCTTTAGACCTATAGTTAATTTATCTAAAAACTTTAGACCTATAGTTAATTTATCTAAATATAATAGTAATTAGACCTACAATTTATTGACGTATATTCAATGGCTATAATTACGTATATTTAATTTCTCAAATCTAATAATTCAAAAAAAAATTTAAACAGAAATAAAAAATATAACCTGGTTAAAAATTCTTCAAGTTCTTTGTCAACTTTTGAAAGAATTGGATAGAAGAAAGACAGAAGATTATTTGTTCTTTTCATGTCCTTATCCATAAAATCTCTTAAACATTTTAAAAATAACAAAATAAACATGAACATTAGACTTAACTACAACCTTAGGGTGGGTCTTGAAAATAAAAAAATCCAAAATTTCCTAGATGTAAACCTCCTTTTAGCATGAGACCTTCAGTTTCAAATCAGAACTATGAAACTTATCACTTTTACATATGAATCAACAAAAAAAAATTTTTTAACTATTTTTATCAATGTTATTGAATCTTTCTCAATAATTTAGTAATTATAAAGTAATAAATGTAAAATTATAATGCTTTTGCCTTAATTTTATAACTTGTTTTTGTTATCAAAGCGTAACAACTTTTTCTTATTAGGAAAATCCTGTTTATAAATGGTAAGTTTTTATTTTTTGAGTATGTTTACAATATAATTACTATATATCTGTTTTTTTATAGGTCTAAAAGGCAACAAGACAGAAAACGCACACTTGACTAATGGGACAGTATAGTAATAGTATACTTCAAACTAAACCTCCATCTGAAGAAAAACTTAAGCTTTTATAATATAAGAGATAAAAAATTATCAACTAGAGATGGAGCTATTGCAGCTAAAGAAATTGGAAATGTATTAGAAAAGGTGTGTATCCCTCACATCTACAAATCCCACATTATTAACAAAATTGAAGAATTTTATACTGAGTGCTACAATTTATTGAGAAGCAAATTCAGGGTTGGCATTAAAAAACCCGCCCAATAAACAAGGCCGCTACGCAGAGGAACAAGTTTGTTCATTTGAATTTCAAGTTCAAAGTTTAATTGAAACTTCAGTTGCTACCTCCCATTCTCTAGCTTTCTTTTTCCCATTTTCTCATTGACATTTTTAATTATATAGAATAATACTTTTAAATTTAAAATAAATCAATACATATAGATTAACCGTGAAACTTTTTTTTTCTATTACAGTTTTAAATTAGATTTAAAAATCTTTTTCAAAATAATTTAAAAAATTCTTGTTATAAATAATTAAATAACAATATGTAAAATATATTTTAAATAAAGTTAAAGTAGAAAATGAAACTAATTTTTAATATCATTAAACAAAAACACAAAGAATTTTTTTACAGGGACAAAATAAAAATTAAACCTAAAAAAACCCAAATTTACCCAATAAAACCCAAAAAACCCCACTGGGACGGGTTTTTTTAAAAAAAACCAGGTTTTTGCCAACCCTGAGCAAATCAGAAACAAAACAATTATAGTCAAAAAATTAATCTCATGTTTGTCATTGCAAGGATGCTTTGATCAAAATCTACAAAGATAAAGATTTTCTAGTTGCACAACGACAGTGGGACTAAAATAAATGGAGTTTTAAACTAAAAAGAAGATAAGAGCAAATAATTGAGATTGAAACAGGTCAAAAGAAATAAAAAGAACAAAAAATTATTTTCAATAAGCAAGAAAGCATGGGATGTGACACTGAAATTGAAGTGTAAAGTGAAACACTTGTAAAAAAACGTATTGACAATCTTAGTGTCATTCAACACTAAGATTGTCAATACAAGATAAATTAAAGGTACTTTGATGTGTCTTAATTTGGGCGGATTATTTTATACTTTGAATGACAATTAAAAAAGCAATTGACTGGGTACAAAAATGTAAATGAGAATATTTTGAAAGTAATCCTTAAGAAAATGTTGAACCATTTATGGTTTTTGAATGAAACCAATATTGCCTTAAGTTTCTTTGACAATGATGTCTCTATTCAAAAGAATGGTTGAGTGAATGAAAATTTAAGGAACAATGACCCATCGAAAAGAATAAGTATGAACTTTAATTTAAAAACACTGCATCAGTAAAAACAATATGAAGTTTTTTATTATTTTAGAATTGAAGGTTTTTTTGCATTGTCTTTTTCAAAGTTGACTTTAAAACAAAGAGTATATATAAGCTAAGGAAGTAGTTCTGGAATATAAAGTTTTGATTCTGCTAAGCGAGCTGTAGAATTCATTGAAGAATTCGAAAAAAACTATGACTAAGGACAATAAACAACAGCAGTTTTTATTGCATACAATACAAAATTTTCGATCCCATTTTCCAGACACTAATAAAATATAAAATATATAAAAGTAGTTGAAATATGTACTTAAGAGTGAATTTGAAATGAAGTAAAAATAATTCAATAAAATTATTAAAAAAGCCTGAAAAATTTTTCCTTGTTAATTTATATAACTATGATTATGATAAGAATCTTTCATAGCATTCAAAACTAAAGACCTCATGTGGGTCACCTAAAACCCAAATAAAAATTCTGAAATTTTTACCAGAGCATATTGACACCAAAATTTAAATCTGGAAAATCCCAATTAAAATATTTTTAAGACTCACCCTACTACCCAGTGAGCACATAATATATTTTTGATGTCTAAAAAATGTTGTAATGCATTTTGATACATTTTTCAGACATTTTAAACCTGTCTTGTTTACTGGGTATAAAATAAAAATAATTACTACAGACCTACTTATTACATAAACATTTTAAAAGGGGAGACATTTCTGTTTCTTTTTACAGCAAAGTATAAAAAATACGACAAATATAAAAATAATATGTTTTTAAAAAACTAATATCCTAAAAAATATTTTAACATTTGTTTATAATTTAATAAATTTTTACTGTATGGTCATAAAAATATACTTTAGTCAAATTTTTTACAAATGTATTTTTTATTAACATTATTTATTAGTATAGTCCATATTGAATAAAATTCTGACATTTTCCCTAAAATACTTCATAAAGCTTTCAGCATACATTATCTTAAATTTGTTGATTCTCAGATGTAAACTAGAAATTTTACACTGATCTACTAAGTCATAACAAGTTTGGTAAATAAAAGTTTCTGAGTTATTAGAGAACTACCCAATGAAATTGAACCTTTAATTTTATAGATATATAAAATACTGTATCAGCATAGACACAAATAATTTAAAGCAGGTAAATTCAACTGTGATGGCATAAATTGGGGTAAAAAAAACAGAATAATGAATTTAGTTAAAATTAAAGTATATATAACCTAATGTTCCAATAAGGGAGCATTGCAAAATAACAATATTTAAATGGACGCAAACCTGGCTAATGGAGTTAAATGTAAAAAAATTTAAAGTTATGCATGTAAATTCTGGAACAATAAAATTTGATTACATTATGGATGAAATCAAAAATGACGGTACAACCAATAGAGTAGTTTTAGAAGTCAGAAATTCTGAAAAAGATCTTGGAATTCTAATCTCCGAAAATCTTAAATATGCTCAACAGTGCAATATAGCTGCAAACAAAGCAAATAATATGCTTGGAATTCTTAAACACACGTTTGTATCAAGAGACATTGACAATTGGAAAAAAATTTATACTGCATATATTAGACCACATCTGGAGTTTGCCATACAAGCCTGGAACCCTTACCTTGATAGTGACATAAAAAAAATTGAAAAGGTACAACCAAAGTTCCTCATGCTTTGAAAAATAAAGACTACAAAACTCGATGTAAAATCATGAAATTAACTACTCTTGAAGACAGACGGAAAAGAGGCGATCTTATTCAAAAATATAAGCTTCTCAACAATTTAAACCTAATTGATTGGCACGTAATGCCTGGCAGCATAGCACCTAGAGCTCAACATGGAATCAGATTTCATCGCGAGATTGTCAGGAACTACGAAATCAGATATAAGTTTTTTAACAACCGTGTAGTCAATGACTGGAATGCTTTGCCAAAAAATGTCATCGAGGCAACATCACTTGATAAATTTAAACAACTACTAGACAGTTTTCAGTCATCATAGTTGCTACAACTCATCATTTACCGTAAATGCCACACAAAAGTGGCTGAAATACGAGTTGGGTATAGATGGGTATACTCAACTGATGATGAGTTTAACAAGGCTGTGGCTTTGTGTAACTTAAATTAACTAACTAAAAAAGTCAAATGTCATATTTTCACTAATATATGTTATATTTTATTTAAATGTTTTAATAATAATAGATAGAGGTTAAAAAAGACTAAACATTTATTAATTTTAATAGATATGGTTTAAAGAAGACTAACCATTTATGTATAGTTTATCATCAAAAACCAGTCATGGGAGTTAGGTATGCAAAATATGTTAATTTTGTTAGACTTTGTTTAACAACTTTCTGTATTAAAAAAGAAAATGAACTCATCATATCAATAAAATAAACAAAGTAAACTTCAATAAATTCTCAACAAAAAAAATTAATATATGTGAAATTCTAAATGTGAGGGCAGATAAAAAAGTGTTTTGGTTTTAACTATATCAATTATAACGACGTAAAGATTATCAAAAGTACTAATTATAACAATATGAAATACATAATCAGGGCCGGGTAAGCTATGAGCGGCCCTTATTTAATGATCTTATTTCATTTTTAAAAGTTCTTAATTCAAAATATTTCAAATTAAAATTATTTCTATTTATAAAAATGCAAATCTGGGTCATAAAAGTTATTAAGTAATACATTTTTTGCCGAATTGAAAACATTAAAGTGTTGCGTTTCAAAATTTATTTTTTGTTTAGCCATTGAAAAGAATAATTAATTTTAGAACGATTGCTTAATAAAAATTTATGCGCAACTTATTTTCGTGTTAAATTGATTAATTTAAGAGTCCATCATATCTGCAAATAAACTATCGGGTGCAGCAAACCGAAAAAGACAATGAAAAGTCTGCAGTTTTTTACGAGAAAATGAAAAGTCTTAAGAAATATTTTCAAGTAGGGTCCAAGCAAAGTGAAGAAATTGGTTGCCCTTTGTTATTAGTTGGTAGTAATTCTTATTGGATGAGAAAATGGAAGAAACACCTGAAAAAAATAAAATAATGATGAATCTTATTTGCAAAGCTGGTTACTATATTCATCAAGTTCTGATAAAGTGTTTTGTGTTTGTTGCAAACTTTATTATTCACAAAAAACAAAATCATCATTAGCCACTATTGGAATCAATAACTGGAAACACATTATTGAATATATAAAATCGCATGAAAATTCACCCGAACATTTAAAGTGTTTTGGTAATTGGTTTGAAGCTAGTTGTAGGCTTAAAACAAATAAAACTATTGATAAAAATTTGCAATTTTTAGTTATTAGATAAAGAGATCACTGGCACCTTGTGTTAGATCACATGTACAACATAATTTTCTACCTATTGAAAAATAACTTACCTTTTAGTGGTTCTTCAGACAGATTATTTATTTCTAAAAATGGAAATTTTTTGGGTTTAGTGGAAATGTTGAACAATTACGACACAACTTTAAAAAAGCATTTACGACACATTTCTTCTAAAGAATCTCATGCAACTTATTGCGAAAAAACAATTCAAAACGAGTTAATTTCTTTATTGCCACCTGGAATTAAAGACAATATTTTAAGACGAGCTAGAGATGAAAAATATTTTAGTATAATTCTAGACAGCACCCCTGATGTCAGCCATAATGAACAACTCTCCTTTACATTAACATTTGTTGATATTTCAAGCAATGAGATAAAGATTAAAGAACATTTTTTAACTTATCAAACTGTTGAAAAATCCACTGGACAATCTTTATTTGAAATTTTGCAAAAGTTGTTGGAAGATCTAAATTTAAATTTAATGAATTGTAGAGGACAAGGATATGATTGGAGGAAATATGAAGGGTAAAAATAAAGGGGTATAAGCTTGAGTTTGTGAAATAAATCCAAGAGCTTTTATCTAGAATAACATTAAAGAACAACGTCTTTAATGTTATTTTAGATAATGCCATAGCATCTTTTCAAGAAATATTTCAACAACTGAATGAATTTCACCAAACTTGGGGAATAATATATAATTTGAAGAAATTACCTGCAGACGATGACTTACTTAAGTTTTGCAAAGATCTGCATTTGAAATTAAAAACGGAAAATAATTGCGATATTAATGGCACAGAATTATTTGACGAATTAAAATCAACACCCACCTTTTTGCCTAAAGATATTCTTGGACGTCTTCTGAATATTTTAAACTTTATAAAATTCAGAGGATTGCAAAATGTGGTTCCAAATATTTGGATTTCATTAAGAAAAATGCTTACCATACCAATTATTGTTGCAAGTGGTGAGAGAAGTTTTAGAAAATTAAAGCAATCAAAAACTTTTTACTTTTTTACAAACGATTGAATAACTTAGCTCTATTGTCCATTGAAAATGAAATAGAAACACGATTAGACATAACCGAAATAATTAAAAACTTTGCCGATTTAAAAACTAAAAAAATTAATTTTTATTGTATAAAGTTTAAATTAGTTTCTGTTTAATTTAATAAATAAATGATTTATAATTTATAAAAATGCACAATTCATAAAGTGCACAATTTGCATCCGTGCCCAGGGCATTAGAATTCCTCGGGCCAGACTGTACATAATTGTAACAGTAATTAAATAACCCATATGAAACACAGTATGAAGATTAATGATAATTAAGAAAGTTAAGAAAATTAAGAGTTTAATGATAAACATTTAAGACATTTTAAATCAATAATAAAAGCAGAAATTCTATCTAAAAATGGGTTATGGTCCACATAATATAATACAAAACCTGGGTGTATAAGAGAAATACTACACTGGGCAACACCTGTATATAAAAAAATGTTTTAGCAGTTGAAATTATGTACTTTTTAAATTCAATACAACTCAAAAATACTATTTTTTCTATTACTATTTAGGAAAAGAGGTAATTCTTTTGTTTTGTTAGGTATTTCAAATAGGGAAAATATATTTTTTTTTTAACATTCAAAAACACTGTTGCAAATAAAGTAAATTTGATAATATATCATTTATGTATAGTAAGAAAAGATCCTAGTATAGAACCCTATCTTCTAGTATAGAACTGTATCTACTAATATAAGAACATAAATGAACTTAAAAACTTGAAAAAATAAAATTATAAAAATAACATAGAACATATATAGAGTAAAACATATTTGGGGTAAAATGGAATAGCGGGTAAAATAAAATAGTAATGACAATGTTTATTTTTTCGATCTTAATTAACTATTGAATTTTTTTTTTGCAAATATTTTTTGATTATATTGTAGAGAATATTTTAATAATTAATTTTCTGAGTAAGATTGTATAAAATTTTATTTTGAATAAAAAAATTTTGTTGTAAATTTATAAGTTTTTGAATGTGTAATAAGATTTTTTTTATTTGTTTGAAAAAGGAACTTGAAACTCTTGGAAATTAAATTCCGTATCATTGAACTTAAAATGTTTACTGGTACAACTTTTTACGCATATCAAGAATCTTTTTTTAAAATTAAATTTGCTGTTTAGGAAAAAAAGTTATGAGTTAAAAACAGAAACGGGGTGTTGTAGGGTTGAATGAAATACGCTAATAAATAAATACGAAGCAATAGCTTATTTCTTAAAAGCGTTTTTTTTTATTAGGTCTCAAGTGACCAATAAATCTACAACTATAAATATTTTGTATAAATTTCAATGAATGAATTTTTCTAACTGAATTTAAATGACTTTTAATTGCTGCTTTTATAAAATGGTTCTAATAAATGAATGAAATACGCTAGTTTTTCTCTTGTTGTGGTCACCTTGTCTGCAAACAACCTTCAATATTGTAGTAACTCCGGCTATTCAAAAGGAAATTTAAAAAGAGGTTGCAAAACAACTGCAATCAGCCCAATCACTTGCAGCAGCTTTGCAACAAATGCTTAGTATCCAACATGTTGACACACAAAAAAGAAAAAATGTAGATGTACCAAGATTCAATGGGGAGTGTCTCAACAAACCTGACCTATATGAAAGGCTAAAAGATGATGATAGTAAAAAGCAGCAAAGCAAGCTAAAAAACAACAAGCTTAGCTATAATGGAGAACAGCAAATAAACCAAGCAACAAGTCCTACGAAAATATTAGCTGCAAACCAATTCAACTGTAAAAAGTGCCAAAAAGTTTTGGGCGAAACTTCAGCAAGTCAAAATATGAAATGGTACCAGTGTGAAAATTTAAATTGCAAGGTTTGGTCAAACATGCATATCAAAGCGATACATAAAAGACGCTAAGTTTTATTACACTAAAAAGTGCCGGACAAGTAAAAACTCAACTCAACCTCTAGTACCTCTAAACAACTCACAAGAAAGACTCACATCATCACAAGAATAAAAAAGTTTATTTTATTTTATTGATTTTTTTAATTGTTATTATTGATTGTTTTTTTAATTGTTATTATTGATTGCTTTTTGTTTTTTTAATTTAGTGTTGTTTTAATTACACTTATATTTGTGTATTTCATTTTCCCTGTATGTCAGTGTAGAATGGAATAAATTTTTTTTAACCAAATAAAGTTTCATAAAAAACTTTACAAAAAATTTGTTACATTTTTATTTAAATACAGCTCAATACTCTCTACAACTTTAAAAAAAAAAAAAAGAAAAAATCTTTTTTCCGTAAAAAATTAATAATTAAAATCCTTGACTAATCCATTTGACCCCATTTTACTCTATACTTTAAATTTAAAAGCGTTTCAGCCAACAGACTTTTGAGACGATCGAAGTTATAACAACAAAACTAAAGTTTTTTAAAATTCTGAAAAATATTATTGACTTTAATCAGATTCATTTATTGTCTCTTCATTCATTGTTTCTTCATTAATCAGATTCATTCATTGTTTCTTCATTAATCAGATTCATTCATTGTTTCTTCATTAATCAGATTCATTCACTGTCACTTCATTAATCAGATTCATTCGTTGTCTCTTTTATATATAGATGTTATTTTTGAGTACTTTGATTGAATATTACAGAGACAATGAATGAATCTGATTAATGACAAGACAATGAATGAATCTGATTAATGAAGGGACAATTAATGAATCTGATTTTTTCAGTAGAAGATAAAATAATGATATAATAGCAACACTTTTCCAGGGATTTTGGGTATCAGTCTCCATTTTAGCTCCAAAAATCAATAATTTACAAGTCAATAATATTGAACAATATTGTATAAACTAGACATTTCTTAACTCTATCTTATATATACTAGTATCATTTTTGAATTCCGCGAAAACAAAAATCTATTTTGGTACTAAATTTTAGGGAAATCCTCAATACCATTATCAAGATATTATATATCAAAATTTAATTGTTGTCCCTTCAGATTTTTATTAAAATGTTTAATCAGCAATATTTCATTAGCTAAACTTTTTGCAGTTGACATTTATTTAATACGGACTGCAAATGATGTAAAAATAAAATAACTCTGATACATATTAGGTGACAAATTTTTTTGTGGGGAAAATTTCATAAATATTTTCTAGTAGTATATGGGGTTGGGTCTAAAATTTTCCAAATAAATCATTTTACAAAAACATCATAAAAAATAATTTTATTTAAAAATTTTGCCAAAATGCACTTTTTTCATTTTTAGCAAAAAAAACTTACTTTCTTAAAATCTAAAATAATAATTTTTTTTATAAAATGATAATTTTTTTTATAATTTTTGTATAATTTTGCTTCTTTTGAGATCCAACATGACATAAAAGTACAAGAAATATATAATTACCGCAAGTAAGTATTTGAAAGAACATTTAATAATTCAGAAGCCAGTTCTTCACCTAACACTCGTAACAGTGTTACTGCAATATCGTGATAACCCTAAATTATAAAATTATAAAAAATTAATTCATAATCCTTAAAAATGTGTAATGCTGAATAATCAAAGCTAATCTACATTTTAGTTTTAATAAATTTAAGAAGTAACCTTAAAAAAAATTCACATACAGTTGAACTTATCTAATTTGAATCTTTAAGGGGTTCTAAAATATGTTTGAACAAAAAGAGTTTATTCCTAAAGATTAAACATTGAAGAGACCAAAGAATTTATTCAATATAAACGATCTTTCAAATTATGGAATGAAGAATTACAAGATTTCTACTGCAATTGAATTGCACAAAATTTTTTTACTTATACTTTTACAAGATTTTAATTTTACATTTTTAAATTTTTTGTTTTTCGATACACATTTTGTTTATACAGTTTTTATATTTTAATTCTCACTAATCGAATTAGAGTGCATCACACGATTTATAGGTTGCATCACCTGATTTATAGGTTGCATCACCTGATTTATAGGTTGCATCACTTGATTTATAGGTTGCATCACCTAATTTATAGGTTGCATCACCTGATTTTTTTATCTTAAGTGGCTAGTAATTTAAACTGTTTCATTAATTATATTAGGCAATCTGTGAAAAAAAAAATATTGGATAATGTTCAGAAGTTTCCAGACCTAATGCAATATCCCCTTTGGTGTTATTTGGGCTTAACAACTTAACCTTAAAAACTTTTGATTTTATAAACAATTAGTTTTTGGGCAACTTCATCAAATTTTATTAAATAATTAATACATATTCTACAGTTGACTTTAATGACAATCATTTTTCTTAATGTCTACATTAGGAAAAATGATTTCTTAATAGGGAGAGAGGCTCAAACTTGGCAGATAAAGGTCCAAATATGTTTACAATGCATTTTTGGACCTTGTCTAAAAGAGAAAGAGCATCATTAAAAGAAACAGCCAAAATATGACAACAGCATACCATACAGGGTTGAATAAGAGATTAAGAGGTAGAGAATGGAATCAGGAGTATAATGGAGAGCAGGATAATAACTTTGCAATCAATTGTATATATGATTTCTGTTAAAGGTCAATAGTGAACAATAATTCAAGAAGATGTAAAGAAGAGGACTCAGTGAGAAGGTTACCATTCATTAATATAGAAATGTCGACAATGTTGCGATAGTTGTTTGCAATAAATGACTGAGTTTTGTTGAAATTAAAATTCACAAACCAGTGCAAGCCCCAATCTGTTACAGGAGTGAGATCAGATTTCAGATCAATCAAACAAATGAATCAGTTGCAGTAAAAAAATTCAACTGGATCAACTCCAGATGTGTTAAGCTAATCAACATTAGAGGCATTGGCAACCAGACTGAAAAAGACACCAACGCAGCAGATTGCATTCACAACAAAAAGTTACAGTTGAATTTGGTAATCTATTTAACTTTGCTTCTTCATATGCCATTACAAACTGCTCATGATGTAGGATTATAAGTGAAATAGCTACAAATATCCAGAATAACAGGCAACCACCGAAACTATGCACTGTTTATTAGGGAAAGCTGGGAAACTACTCTATAGGTTAAATATACCTACTCTTCACTCAAATTAGGTCAGGCCAGGTTTATCCTGCTACTGGTAACATATAAGCCAGTACAATCTGCTTCATGTCCTGCTGCCTTGTAGGATATGCCTTTTTAGGCAAAGGCTAGGAGATGCCAACTCTGACATAAAACACCCCCTGCCTTAGGGCTCTAGTTGAGTAAAGGCTAGAGATGGTATCTCGATAAAAATACTCATCTTGGGCAGATATTAAATGCATTCGGCCGCTGTCTTGCAAAAGGTCTCCTAGGCAAAGACTTAAGGGGTAAACAGATTCTATGTGATGACCAGCCTTGCACTCCTTCTTCATCTGTTAGGCTGGCGCAGATATGTTTTTAATATATGCTGGATCTTCTTGATTCGATGCATAGGTTTTGCATGTGTATCTGTTTTTTTAAATAGGCAACTCATTCTATTATCTCCTAATGAGGGTACAGCTCTAAAATTCAGTTTTATGGTTCTGAGGCTGGCTGGTAGTCAGGTTTCCCGAACTCTGTGGTAGCTTTCAGAGAGGCTGATTCCATCAACAGTTGCAAAATATCAAAGCACTAACCAAGTTCGCTAAACCTATCATTCACTAATATTTGTGGTCTTTGAAGTAACTTTTCTTCTGAGTCTTATCTCTTGCAAAGTTCACCAGACAAACTTGCTCTTTGTGAGACTAATTTGAGTTCAGCTGTCTCATCTTGTTATCTTAGTGTTGATAGTTATCTTCCTTTAATTTGTAAAGACTCCAATAGTCACATGCTTAGACTGGGCATTTACATTCGTAAGAATTCACCAATTTTTCGGGATACTAGGTTTGAATCCACAGACTACTGTTCTATGTGCTTTCGTTTAGCACCACTTTACTCTATCACCTTTCTCTTTGTTCTATATCGCTCTCCTTCATCTCAAGACTGTACTCTTCTTGATGTTATTTCTGATCATATTGACCAAGCTCTCTCTTTATCCATCAGCCAATATTGCTGTTGTCAGTGACTTTAATGTTCACCACACTGAATAACTTGGCTCTAGTGTCAGTGACTCTGCAGGCATTAAAGCCCACAACTTTTGCCTTTCTCAATCCCTAACTCAAATAGTCAACTTTCCAACTCGCTTTCCAAACAACCCGAATCATTTACCTTCTCTACTAGACTTGTGTCTTGTTTCTGATCCTAGTCAGCGCTCAGTTTCTCCACATTCACCCTTAGGTGCTTCCGATCATGGTTGGTCTCTCTAAAACTATTATCTCATTCTTCTTTATCATCAGAATTCCTCTATCATCATACATCTTACAACTACCTTGACCGGGACTCTTTCCATGATTTTTCCGTGATGGCCCTTGGTTAAAAACCTTTTGTCTTCCTGCCGACAAATGTGCTTCTTACATAACTTCGTTTGGCATGGCATCTTTTATTCCCTCTCGACAATTCCAGGTCAAGTCTCACTTTTCTCCATGGTTTTCCTCGCATTGTACTGCTGCAATTGCAAATCGAAGCCATTACTTCCATATCTATCAGCAAAACAATTCTCCAGAAAACAGACGTCTGTTTAATACTGCTAGGGACCATTATAAAAAGGTTTTGTCTAACACCAAAGCCCGCTATTCTCAGATCATGAAATCTCGTATTTCATCACAAAAATTAGTCTCTCGTGACTTCTGAAGAATCTTTAATAGTATCAATAATAAGAGCAAATCTGTAATTCCACCTCTTTTGTATGGTTTAAACTTTGTCACCTCACTTAAAGACAAAGCTGAAATGTTTGCTAAGAACTTTTCATCAATATCATCTCTTGATTCCATAAGTTGCGCTCTACCTGATATAGCCGTCAAACAGGTTGAACATTGCTTGACATCCATATTACTCCAGCTTCTGTATATAAAATGATTTCCTGCTTAGACTCTTCTACAGCTTGCGGCCCGGACAACATACCTGTTATAGTCTTGCAGAAGTGTTCTCCGGAGCTGTCGCCTATCCTTTCAAAACTATTCAACAAGTGCTTATCAGAGTCTTGTTTTCCAGCCTGCTGGAAAGCAGCATCCATTATCCCTATTTTTAAAAATTCTGGAGAGCGATCTAATTTGTCTAGCTACCGTCCCATTAGTCTTCTTCCTATCATAAGCAAGGTTTTTGAATCTTTAATTAATAAACACTTAATCTCTCATCTTGAATTTAATAACTTACTTTCTGATCATCAACATGGATTTCAATCTTCTCGTTCTACGGGTGATTTGCTAACGTAATAACCGATAGGTTTTATCATGCATTAGATAAAGGTGGAGAGGTTAAGGCCATTGCTCTTGACATTTCTAAAGCATTTGATAAAGTTTGGCATGCTGGTCATCTCCATAAGCTTTCTTTTTACGGTGTATCTGAAAACATCTTTTAAATTATTGAATCCTTCCCATCCAATCGTAGTATAAAAGTTGTACTTGATGGACAGCACTCTTTTTCTTATTCTGTAACCTCAGGGGTTCCTCAAGGTTCAATCCTATACTCTTTTTAATTTACATTAACGATCTTCCAGATGTTCTTACATCTAAGGTGGCATTGTTCGCTGATGATACTACCATTTATTCTTGTCACGATGAGAAGCCAACTCCATCTGATTGCTTGCAGGGGGAATTTGAGCTTGAAAAGGATCTCACTTCTGCTACAGCATGGGGCTCACAGTGGCTGGTAAACTTTAATTCAGATAAAACTATATTTTTTTCAGCCAATCATTATCACAATAATTTAGACCTTCCTATATTTATGAACGGTAATGTACTTGATGACTCATCTACCCTTCATCTTCTAGGATTAACTTTTGATTCTGGAAACCGTATATCAAATCTATTGCAAAATTAGCATCTGCTAAAATTGCATCTCTTTATAAAGCTCGACACTGTCTCACTCTGGATTCTATTCTCTATCTCTATAAATCTCAAATTCGGCCTTGTATGGAATACTGTTGCCATATATGGGGCAGATCTTTTAATGATGCCCTTTCTTTTTTAAACAAGGTGCAAAAATGCATTGTAAACATAGTTGGACCTGCTCTTGCTGCCAATCTTTAACCTTTGTCACATCGTCGTAATGTTGCTTCTCTTTCTCTTTTCTACAAATACTATAATAAGCACTGCTCTAAAGAGCTAGCGTCTCTTGTGCCATCTACTAAAATTCATTCCTGTGTTACTTGTCATTCAATTAAGTCTCATCCTTTTTCTGTGACTGTTCCTAAGTGCTCCACAAACTCTTATTCCTCTAGTTTTTTCCCTCAAACATCAGTTCTTTGGAATTTGCTTCCTTCATCTTGCTTGCCTGATTCATATAATTTGCAATCTTTTAAGTCATCTGTCAATCATTATCTTGCTCTAAAATCTTCATCTTTTCTCTTCCAGTAACTTGCAACACTAATTAGTAGTTGCTTGCAGCCTTATTGGAAGCGATGTTAAAAAAAAAAATCAATAAAATCACTCAAGAACGTGTGACTTGATGCATAGTTGTTGGTTATGCAATGCAATTGAAGCTCTTGGTGGTGATAAGTTATTTTAAAGTATGATTTATAAATAATAATTAGATAAATTATGTGGCCAAAATCCGAAAATCCCAAACTGACTATAAAGTTAATGAATTAGTGATAATCAAATTGTTAACATAACATTTGACACTACCAACTCTAATATGGGTCATCAACAGCAGTTTTCATTTCTATACAAGATAAACTGCAGCATGAAGTAAAGTGGTGGGTTGGACCATATTGTCACAGTCAGATGCAATCTTGTTTATGGTTGAAAAGTAATTGGGATTTGACGCCACATAACTCCTATCTATCTTATATATCCTATCATACTTATATTCTGTCCAATTGATCACACCCAAAGTAGAAGAGCTGCTTAATCTTGTTATAAAACAAGATTTCACTAATCTTTCAATAAAGAGCAATGACATAACAGCAACCTGGTGCACTGCGCAAAGCCTGTTGGATACCAAGCTTATTCATACTCTGAAGATTGGATTTTGCGAGCCACAAATTGAATAGCTTCCACCAAGCAAAAATACTTGTCATCACCATAACAAAGGTGTGTACACAGATTGGTGGCAAACAAAAATGCTAACAAAATGCAGACTCACCATGGAACGATCTTTAGCTATATCAATACCTACTTGCCTATAAGTCTATTGACAAGCATATTGCAAAACCTGCAATTCCAACATTAAATCACTATCTTTAGTATCTGACAGTTGAAATAGTACTGTTAGCTCTGTGCATTACACAGGCAGCCTTTTCTGTGAGGCAACCACTTGCAGATGCAAAGTCCAGACTGCCACTAACTAGAGATCTACAAGCTCCTTTTTCAGCATTGGATGGAGTAATCCCAAATTCTCTTTGTCCATTAAAAGCTCAATCTGCCTGTGTGACCTTATTGGAGCATTAATAGCACCTCTATCCTTGATCATATTTGGACTGTAAAAAGTCTGAATGATATAACTGAAGCATTTAAATCATTGAAAATCTTGATGCTTTGCCACCATTTTGGAACATTCATTAATTTTTTAAAGTCAACAACTATATCATATATAAAACAAAATAATTAAATATTCAAAAAAATACAAAATAGCCCTGTAGAGGAAATAAAATCTTTTAAAGAAAATTAAACTATCACAAATTTTTGGAAAATAAAGAAAATCAAGTATGACATTCTTTTTGAGACATCTTTTTTCTCATATTTTTATAATGTTTTCATTATAAATTTTTTTTTTATTTTAAGTTTTGAGTTTTTAAAATAACTTATTAATGTGGCTGTAGAATTACTTTTATCAATATTTTTCTGAAGAAAAATATTTAAAAAGATTCTACTTATAATTGTTTTATTTTTATATACAAGTTATATTTTTTATTACAAAGATATTTTTAAAATAAATTTTAAAAAAAAATCTTTTTTTTTTTAATTTACCACTTTTAATAAAACCTATTAAATTAATCAACTAAATCAAAAAAAAAAAAATTTTAATAACAACCTGAAAATAGTGTAGATGAGGATTTCTGCAAAGCACTCTCATAATTACAAAAAGAAGTTTTTGTTGTAAGACCTTGCGTCGAGACATACGTATGTCTGAAATAAAGTAGAAATTTGTATTAATTTTTATTTGTATTCAAATTCTTATCCATGACTAGAATAGTATGTCTGTGAACAGTTTCTATAAATAAATGTGTTTGTAAAATATACTCAAAATACTAGGTAATAATAATAAAATTACACACTAGGTGCAAAACGTCTGTATG